GAATGAATGAATTAGTGTTATTAACAATAATAATGTTGGTATTTAATTGGTGGATGGTGACTAGCAGTAGAATCCAGGATAACGTGCATTTCGTCCTGTTTGAGACTCGCCAGCTGGATGTACCTGCATTTCTAAGTGAGTGATGATGATGTTCTTGTCGAGGCTCGAACCCAGTGCCCATAGTTTCAAACTCTGAAGCGTTATCCACTAGACCATATGGGCTACGAGAGCCACCTCTTGTGAAATGGGTCATATTAATTTCATTGAATTTGAGATTTTCCCGTCAATTGATTGGACCGAAGTGCTGTTTGTTTAAATAAAATCGAATCGATAATGATAATAGATTACAGCTCAAAAGCATCAACATAACAATAAACTGAATGTAGCAAAAATATTCATTCAGACATCTATAAAACACAAAATAATTGAGCAAAGAATATTCTTTTCTATAAATTCCTCTTCAGGATTGGTAGAAGAGGAATTTATCGAAAAGAATAAACTGAATGTCAGAAAAATTAGGAAAGATAATATTGCAAATTCATGAATTTATGGTCTCCGCTGAAGGCCAGCAAGGGCAGTACTAGTGACTAACTGGACCTGCTTCTTTTGAACATAGAGGACTGGTTGTTTGAGGAGAATTGCAATAGCCTCTAATGTTTTGAGCATGCGGTGTTTCGATGTTTTTAGCAATTTATTTGGCACCCGGTAGATCATAGAGAAAGATTCTTCCACGTTGGCTGGCTTTGTGGCCGGTCGGTTTGCACCAGATGGTCCAATATCGAACTGTTGACGATGGTTATCACTACACCTTTATTTAGCCATAGTGGAAGATGTCCTCGAATGAGCATGAATAATCAAGTTCCTAGAGCAACGGTCGATATAACTCGCTCCATCACAATCGGAGTTGCATTGGTGGATACAATTTAAAGTGACTAGTCTAGTCTAGGTAGTTCATCTTTCAGTCGAGGTATTCTTTCCAGTTGTACCTCTTATAGCGTAATAAATACCTTAATGCCTATCATTTGTCAACAATTTGAATACGAGACACTTTAATAAATGTTTTGTTAGATGAATAATTATTCGAAAGAATTTATAAAGTATATCAGTTTCATGTAACAACACAAAGACAATCGGCATTGAATGATGCTCATTTTGAAACACTTAGTAAAAAGCTTGAACACTAGTGTTATCAGTGACCAGCTAAATATCGTGTCAACTAGTTACTAATATTATCTGGCCGGGCGGACAGAAGGAGATGATGTGATCTCTAGCTTTTGGTTTCTTTAATTCATAATCGATACGCTCTCTAGGAAGTTTCTGTAATACTGGTGTTTTGTTTACACGGGGTGCAGTTGTTAGCCTTCTGGTAAATCTTCCTTTTTCTTAGACTTGGTATTTCTTATTAAACTAGTTGAAGTTAAGAAATGTGTGTCGACCAAGACTTGAAACCCGGACCATATGCATGGTTGGTAGGCATTCCTCACCTTATTAAATAAGTCTGATTTAAATATGACATATTGATGATGCAGTATTAACAACTGCATGACAAGGTTTCGAGTATAAATGATTACTGTTCATAGTTGTATCAATTTAGCCACACATTTTCACAGTTTATGTCATTTATGTTTTCTCTATTTCTCTCTCTGTCTCCACCTTCGCCTTGTTGTTTGTTGCCACTTTCCACATCTCTGGTATAAGTGGCGTTGCGTGATTGAGATTGCACATGTTGTGCTGTGTTGAATCGATTAACAGAGCTTCAGTGATTAACCTCTGTCTCTACCTAACTATATTACTTTTTATTACTTTCACCCTGTCCCAAACAACCTATTTTGTGATTACATGCAAGTGAATGCAGTACAATGCCTGAGTATTTCTCCTTGATTATTTAACTTAGCAGGGTCAATCATTCTGGGTTTAGCTAGAATTCTGTTTTCCGATAATTCAGTTGATCCCAATCTACTAGTTTGACTGATCTATGTGGTTGACCTCATAGTCATTACATGTCATCTGGTAAATTATATTATTTTTCTTAATTGGATCTATTGGGACCTCAAGCCGACAAAGTTTATCTCTGAGAGAGTTGGTTGGTCGGTTGGTTGGTTTAAATACCACACTAATTCTAGCCTCATTGAGAATCCCAATAAGGCCTCTGATGTTCCTTTGCCATACGGCAGTAATAGAGAGGTATTGTGATTGGACACTAGTGACTAGTGCAACCTGTCTAGTCCTTTCTTTGATGCAGACTGATTTCTGCCACTCAGTCAGTCAGTCAGTCAGGTTTGCAATGTGGCCACCATTCCACTAGGTAGCTCGCCGTCACGGTGCACATTGATTTGATAATATTAGATAGTTGGAGGGAATCGGCCACTGGAAGCCTTGCTTGATCTAGGTTTTGTGGTAGTTGGTAATCAGCAGTCGTTATCAAGGCGTATCTGCAGTCACCTTGAAGGAACTCATATCCCTTCGGAGATTCGAACCCTCGTCACCCAGTTCTGGCTGCAGTCAGAAACCTCAGCACCTAAGTGCTGAGGTGCTCGTGATTGACCTCTTGTAGGACTGTAGTGGATATTTTGATTGGACACTAGTAACTAGTGTGATATGTCTAGTCCTTTATTTTGGTGCAAACTGAATTCTATCAGTCAGGCTTTGAATTCCATATTATTTTCGTCATTTCTTTTACTAATCTTATTTTTTTTGCTATGGTTCTTCATATGTTTCTAAATAAATTTTGGTGGGTAGTGTGTTATTCACTAGTAATATTTCCTTTATTTGTTTGATTTCGTTATTTAAATCTTCTGGTCCACTAGTTAGGCTGTTGACCTGAATATACAGACATTTAACTAAACCGATTCTGGATAGGATGAATTAAAGTCTAAGTACTTATTAGAGTGCTTGCCAGTTCTCCTACTTAACCACATATCCAAAGAGTTCAGACAATCTAAATTATGACTGATCAGTGCATAGGGTTTAAAGTTATTTACACTTTTCAAGTATCGGTTTCGGTGGGGATTTTGTTTCATTGGTTGGAGGATTTCATCATCATGAGCTGACATCACTTACAGATCCATTGGAAAACTAACCACAAGGAGCGCTACAAAATCTACTGTTATGTCAATCCCGGTTTGGGACTCTTCATCAGTACGCACCTACCACAAGGGGTTCGAAACTAGGAGCTCCTGGTTGTAAGGCCACCGAGCTAGTAGACCATTAAGCCGCCCGCTGGGACCCCATCCAATTGTTTTAGAACAAATCACAGTTAGAATAATGGCTAGATCATATTTTATTAATTTTTTTTTAATTTGGGAATATTCAGTACACTCACAACCTAGTTGATAATTGCATTTCATTTATTTGTCACAAAAAATTGTTGAACTACGGAACTGACAATGCATCTTAGGGATTTCTCATAGAAGCACTTATGATACATGTCACATTTTGAAAGAAATTTAACAGGGAACGTTATTGAAAAAGTTTATTTTCATAAAAGGTATATAGATGGGGTAACAGTCATTTGTGATAAACCAACAGATGGCGAAGAAATCCTTCACAGGAAAGGATACAGTACAAAAGAGTATATCGTTACTATCACTTACCAACTTTTAGATGTACTCATAATCCGCCGACAAGATGGGCCAATAATATGATCTGCCTATAGAAGACTTAAGTAGACAGGACAGTATCTAAATTGGCATAGTTTCTGTCCACAACATTATAAGAAAGCGTTAGTTAAGTGCTTGTTTAGATGCATTCTGTACATGATTGCAGAGGTCACCGTTGAAGAAGAAACACAAAACTTCACTAAAATATTTTTAGATAATAAATATTCGCTGAAATTCACTAGGCGTTACAAAAGTATCAAGTGAAGGGCTCCACCGATTCAATCAGCTCCCAAAAGGGTGTTTATATATATATATATATTCCTACGGTTCAAGGACGACCAATAGAGTCTGACCATTAAAACAGACTCAAGGTGGTAAATGTTAGAACTTAATATTCATCCAAACTTATTTCCATAGTGAAAACGAGATCTATGCCGTCCTATAAGCTTCCAAAAAATTCGAGCGATAGTTTAACATCCCGCTGTGTTGACCAATTAACAAGTCTTTTTGGCCACACCTACATAAGAAGGATCCACCGGTCTCTGCAGATTGAGGCCACTCAACACATCCTAAAAGTGGCTGCAACAACAAATAAAATTAATGGATACAATTAATCTTGGAAATAGACATCGAACATCATCTATGGAGGAGCACATCATAGACTATCAAGCAGGTCAGATGTGAGGAAAAATACTCACTGTTGAAATTCATTAGTGGCCGCACCATATCATGAATTGGAAGAAGTTTTAACTGATTGATTGGCCATTGAACCTGGTCCCAGTGGCTGCTTAATGGCCTATGAACTCGTTGGCCTTGTAACCAGAAGATCTTAGATTTGAACCTCAATGGGGGGATTCTGTTGAAGAGTCACAAACTAAGGTTGACGAGACAGCTGGCTGTCCAGTACTCCCTGTGGTTAGTTTTCCAATGGTTCTCTAACTGATATCAGTTCACGATGAAATCCTCAAATCAATCAAATCCCCGCAAACCAACAATTGAGATTCATATTCTGTTGCCTCATATATAAGTGTGTATGACAAGGACGTGTGTGTATGTGTGTGGTCAGAATGTCTGAAATGTGTTGCACAAATAAATTACACGTTTGACATAAACTATGTCTTTTTGTTATTCCATCGAAATTCACAGATGAATTAATTTCAGCCTAAATCGCTGAATGGTTAACAAGCTTGGTCTCCTTGTTTCTATCCATAGTGGTGTCGTGGGGATGCACTGATGAAGAGTCCATAAATAGGACGAAACATACGTTCACTTCTCCCTAGTTTCTAATGACCTTTTTAAATGATGTTAGTTTATCATGAAAATCTAATCAATTTTAAAATTTCAGTTGATTTTCTTACAATATGATTTTTTATTTTTATTTATACACATTTCTTTTTTCAGGGTTGCGTTTCTGCCCTTGGTGAACTGTTTAGGAAGTATATGATTCTGATTGTAATCTTTTCATTTGCATTTGCTGGATTCCAAATTCTCTGTTTTATGTTTACAGTTTGTTTATGTAATGCAATTAGACATAGTAGATGAGATTGACAAACTTTGATAAATTCGAATGATGTGTAAGACTATCTATTCATTCACCGTTATTTTTTATATTCAGGATATTCTCAAAATTATTTCTCTTTCCCATTCAAATATTTACTTACTTACTTACTTCTGTTTTGATGCGTTTATATATATATATATATATAAACTTTCTGTCATTATCTTTGTCTTCAAATTTACCGCCATTCATTTCGACTGTTCAATGTTTCAATAATGTTTGAGGGAAAGAAAAGAATTTGAAATTTACTGGTTTAAACAAAAGCTAAACGAATGAATGAGATGGTTTAATTCGTTATCTTTTCTTTTTATATATGGATTTGCTCGACTGTTAAATTTATAGTCTTGCATTTATTTTTATCTAGTATATACATACATATATACTATGAGTTATTCTGAATGACCTTTTTTTCTCTAACATTTCTGAATTTCATACTTTTATAATATTAACAATTGGATGTATAAAGAAAAGTGTTGATTTCCTTCATTATTAAAAAAACTTTTTAATGGGAAATATAAAGCTTTCGATGAATCTAAGTGATTATCATAAGGGTAAGGTTATTCAATATAAATGCTATTCTGTTAATATTATTATCATTATTATTATTCCCTTGGTTGTCCAGTGGATCGTAGGGCTTTGACAGGATATTTCTACGAGTTTTTCAGGGATTGATATCAGTTAAAGAACCATTGATGATTCCCGAACTAGGCTGATGAAACAGCTCTCCAGTACGCCAGTGCTGATTTTCAATGGTTCCCTAACTGATATCTATCCGTGATAAACTCGAAGAAAGCAAATCTAATCCTTACAAACCAAACTATAGAAAATTGTTTCTGATGCTCGCTAGTGACTTGCCACAGGATGGAGGTTCATGAAGTTCTAGTGAGAAGCCATGACTAGTGAGGTCCAGCCAGTCAAGTGTGAGGCTGGATGTCCCACAGACGACATCGGTTGGGGTCGCAATAAGCACGAGTTGTTAGAAGTTAGAATTCATTGGCTGACCGTTAAGAATTGTGGTTCCAGTGGCTGAATGGTATACTAGCCAGCTTGGCTTGTAACCGGAAGGTTCTGGGTTCGAACTCTGGTTCTTTGGTGGGTGCGTATTGCCTATGATTCCCAAACTAGGCTGATGGAACAGCTGACTGTCCAGTACTTCCTGTGAGCTGGTTTTCAATGGTTCTCTGTTTGATATCAATCCGTGATCAACTCGTAAAAATATAACTAACCATTACAAACCAAACTATAGAGAAGATATTTCTATTTTGAAGTAAATTGGTGAATGGTGATTAGCAGTAGAATCCAGCATGTGCATATTTCGTCCTGTTTGGGATTCGTCAGCTACTGGATATACCTGCATTCCTCATTCAGTGAGTGACGGTGTTCCCACTGAGGCTAGAATCCAGTACCCATAGTCTCAAACACTGAGACTTTATCCCATAGAGCACTTCAGCCACCTTTTCGGCAACGGGTATTACTGAATATTTAATTTAGTTTTGATTTAGATATGATAGAGAAGATTTGTAGCTCAGGTGGATGATTTTGATGTGGTTTTGTTCTCTGAGCTGGATGGTTAGTTTGCGAAGCTTTCATCACCCTACTGGGTGACATCTTCAGCGCATACTTCAATTTAAAGTGAGCTTTTAGATTTCTCCACGAGTTTATTAATCATTCCTCCTGATGACCTTGGACGTGATTGGTTGTTTATGTGTGTCAAAGAAACAATCAGTTCCAATACAAGTAACCTAGAAGGTGTGAAAACACAAATAAACAACCAATCACGTCCAAGGTCATCAGGAGGAATGATTAATAAACTCGTGGAGAAATCTAAAAGCTCACTTTAAATTGAAGTATGCGCTGAAGATGTCATCCAGTAGGGTGATGAAAGCTTCGCAAACTAACCATCCAGCTCAGAGAACAAAGCCACATCAAAATTAGTTTTGATTTTTCCCACCGACTGATTGGACTGAAGTGTTTGACCTCAGATGTGAACATGTTGGCTCCTTGTGCAGATGTTTCAGCGATGTCTGATTATTTAACTTGAAATAAATTGATAGGTGGTGACTAGTGGTGGAATGCAGGATGTGCATTTCATCCTGAGGAATTCGGATACATCCCATATAGGGTGAAATGAGCATTCTGTATTTTACTGCCAGTTCCCACCTACCAATTTACTTGAAGTTACATAATCAGACATTGTCGAAGCATCTGCACTAGGAGCCAACATGTCCACATCTGAAGTCAAACACTTCGGTTCAGTCAATCTAAGCGAAAGTGTACACTGAACTAAATAACATCTCTGAAGTTCTATTTAGTTGGCTACAAGACTGTTGTCAATGTCCAGGTCTTACTACACTGGACCTCACACTGTCCTTGGAAGACTTTCAGCAACAATTTGTTATAACCAACGCGAAAAACCAGAACACAGATTAGCGACTCGAGAATCCTTTATTCTTGCGCCAATATGTAACCAACAATAAGGTTATACACAAGGTCTAAGAATAAATGTTATAACAATAAATCAGAATAATACTTCTGATAGTTTTGTGTCTTCCACTGAACAACGAACGATGAGACAATGACTGCTGGATTGATAACTCCCGCGAAAAATATGAAGGAGTTGGGTTTGATCAAACAACCATGAATTGATCTTTCAGTCGTCAACTACATTGACAACTGTCCTACGATTTCTTGTATGTCACTTTCGGACGCATGCATAACTCATCGTTTTCCATTCAGGTTCCACTCATGAGACTCGATGATCTCCTCAGCGCGTGTGTGTGTGTGTGCATGCGTCCATCCGATCCTTCTCCATTTTCTTCAGCATATTTAATGGGCTATTGGTTTTTAGTTAGTTACATCCCAGATTTCCTTTGCTACTCACTCATTCCTTGAGTTCTGAGGATAACATTTACCTTCAAAGGTAAATCAATATGTCACCATATAGTTGTCTGACACTTTGGCTCTCTATATGCATTTATTTCCCCATCTTATGATCCCTTCAATTTCATTGTCAGATCCACATCCAGCCTGTCGTCTCGTATCTTCCTTACACTTCAGGATCTATCTGGATTCGGATATCACTGGAATTTACTTTTTTCTACTTATTATTTTTGAGCAATAGGTTGTCAGTTGGTTCGATCCCTCGCCAGAGTTCCTTGTTATTTATTCTTTCTAACAGGTTATCTGACATTCAATATCGAATGCAGATAGACGTCAATGAAAGTCATCAACAGGCTGTACAAAATGGTTCTGGTGACATGTACACGAAGTCTTTGAACTACCGTATAGTACCAATGACCTGGCATTGTTACTGAAAATACTTTGTTTTAAAAAGAAATGGTTTGTAAGGATTAGATTAGTTTTTACGAGTTTGATAGCGGATTGATATCAGTTAGAGAATAATTGTAAACCAGCCTACAGGGAGTACTGGGCAGCTGTTTCATCTGCCTAGTTTGGGAATCATCGCCAATACGCACCCACCACAAAGGATTCGAACCCAGGACCTTCTGGTTACAAGGTGAGCCGGTTTGTAAACTATTCAGTCATTGAGACCCTATTCAATTGCCCATGGCCAATGATTTACAAACTAGGCTGACGGAACAGCTGTCCAGTACTCCCTGTGAGTTGGTTTTCAATGGTTCTCTGGCTGATATCAATCCGTGGTGTGTTTGTGTGTGGATTTCTACGCTGATTTCAGAGTAATGAACACCCATGGTAATGGGAAATGTCTTTGATAATTCAGACTGAAGTAAAGTATGTGTGTCAGGATGATTGAAATCAGTGACCTGAAAGTAATCAGCCAAACAGATTACTAACTAAATTTTGAAATTTTGAAATATTCCCATTTTTAATATTAGAACAAGACATATAAGCGAACAATATTGTTTTCAATTAGATCTTCTTTAGGCTTTACTCTAATTTACATGGAATTATATATAATAATGTTAACCAATGACGGTGATTTTGTGGATCAAATCATCATAATAATAATATGGTAAATGTTTTGAAATTTTCATATATATAAATCTATACAAATTAGAGTAAAACCTGAAGAAGATCTAATTGAAAATAATATTGTTCGCTTATATGTCTTGTTATAAATTTTGAAACTTTATTAAGTTTCACAAGTTATCTAAAATTTGACGCGTTTTGAGTAATCTGGGGGCCACTGTTTTACTTCACGTCTAATACATGAAATGAGACTCAAAATTACTTACAGAGCTTAAAAACCAGGGAGTACTGGACAGCTGCTGTTTCATCCTAGTTTGGGAATCATCGGCAGTACGCACCCACTGGGTTTCGAACCCAGGACCTTCCGGTTACAAGGCAAGCTCGTATACCATTCAGCCACTGGAACCCGATTCAATGGCTCGTGAATTCTAACTTCTACCAATTCGTGATTTAGCGCGACCCCAACCATTGTCGTTGGTGGGACATCCATCCACACACGTGACATCTAATTGGACCTCACTGGTCACGACTTCTCACTAGAACTCAGGAAACTCCAACCTGTAGCAAGTCACTAGCGAGCATCAGATTAACTTTCTATAGTTTGGTTTGTAAGGATTAGTTATGTTTTACGAGTTGATCACGGATTGATATCAGTTAGAGAACCATTGAAAACCAGGGAGTACTGGACAGCTGCTGTTTCATCCTAGTTTGGGAATCATCGGCAGTACGCACCCACTGGGTTTCGAACCCAGGACCTTCCGGTTACAAGGCAAGCTCGTATACCATTCAGCCACTGGAACCCGATTCAATGGCTCGTGAATTCTAACTTCTACCAATTCGTGATTTAGCGCGACCCCAACCATTGTCGTTGGTGGGACATCCATCCACACACGTGACATCTAATTGGACCTCACTGGTCACGACTTCTCACTAGAACTCAGGAAACTCCAACCTGTAGCAAGTCACTAGCGAGCATCAGATTAACTTTCTATAGTTTGGTTTGTAAGGATTAGTTATGTTTTACGAGTTGATCACGGATTGATATCAGTTAGAGAACCATTGAAAACCAGGGAGTACTGGACAGCTGCTGTTTCATCCTAGTTTGGGAATCATCGGCAGTACGCACCCACTGGGTTTCGAACCCAGGACCTTCCGGTTACAAGGCAAGCTCGTATACCATTCAGCCACTGGAACCCGATTCAATGGCTCGTGAATTCTAACTTCTACCAATTCGTGATTTAGCGCGACCCCAACCATTGTCGTTGGTGGGACATCCATCCACACACGTGACATCTAATTGGACCTCACTGGTCACGACTTCTCACTAGAACTCAGGAAACTCCAACCTGTAGCAAGTCACTAGCGAGCATCAGATTAACTTTCTATAGTTTGGTTTGTAAGGATTAGTTATGTTTTACGAGTTGATCACGGATTGATATCAGTTAGAGAACCATTGAAAACCAGGGAGTACTGGACAGCTGCTGTTTCATCCTAGTTTGGGAATCATCGGCACTACGCTGAATGGTATACGAGCTTGCCTTGTAACCGGAAGGTCCTGGGTTCGAAACCCAGTGGGTGCGTACTGCCGATGATTCCCAAACTAGGATGAAACAGCAGCTGTCCAGTAC